ACCTTTTCCCAATGCAGTCACTTTTTTTTTAATTGCCAGAGAGTGTGTGCACTAACCAAAGAAAGAGGGGAGAGAAAGAGAGAAAGAAAGAAAAAAAAAAGAGCATACCCCCATTGAGGCATGGTCTTGCTGCAAATCCTTCTCCATTTCTCTATTTTTTGGGGATTTGGAGCACACACTCACACACACACACGCACACAAGGCATATTTTTTTAAGCCACTGGGGCTGGGATTGGAACTGTTGATAACCATGTGGAATCCAGCTCCCTTAACCACTAGGCTACAGGGCCAGGCCCACAGTCACATTTCTTTTTTTACAGATTTTTTGTTCTTTTTTATCCACTTACCTAGGTAACATACAAGTCTTGAAAAAGACATTAGCTACCACAGGCATCAGTGACATGCTGTAGAGGACACCAGTGCAACCAAGAGCTCTGGGCAAAGTTAGGATCAATCAGAAATATGGACAAAAAGATCATTCCAGGGCTATCACCAAGGTCAACAAGATAAGCTATAACTGACTCTAAGTGACTTTGGCAGTGGGATTAGGCAAAATGCTTAGGCAGCACTCATTTCATTGCTATTAAACAATCCAAATATCCACAACAATAGATTCTGAAGGAAGGAGAGTTAGCTGAGTTGAGCTAGCCATGCACTCTCAGCAAAAATGATCCCTAAGTCATTGCTAACTAGCTCTTCCACAGCTCTGTTCACATTGATGTTTCAAGGAGAGTTCATCCCTGCATTCCACAAATTTTAGTGAGTGCCAACTATGCACCAGCATCTTTTTATACACTGGGGATACAGCCATGAAGAAATGAGACAAAAACCCTTGCCCTTGTAATACTTACATTCTAATATGTCATCCCTACATTGAGAAAAGAGCACTGAGTTTTAACTTCTATCCAATGGGACAGACTATTGTTCTGAACAGTCTTCAAGAGACATTTTACCAAGGGTGTTAGCCAAACCTGAGCCATCCTTGCTCTTGAGACCTTGTTCCTCCATCTTATTCCCTGTGTCATAACAATGCACAGGACAAAGCTGAGACAGTCTGATGCTTTTTCCTTAATGTACCCCTAGTGACTCCTAAAGCCTCCACACAGATATATACCAAGACCCTAAAGAATGTTCATAGCATACACCACTTCTGGGAACCTTTACTAATAACCCTAGATTTTTATAAGAATTTAGATGCATAAAAATGTACATCAGAGCTTTATTTAACTTAGTCAAAAATAAAAAGCAAATTGGATGTTCAACTATAAATGAGTAGATAGGTAAATCATTGTTTTACCTATAAAACAATAAGATAAAAATAATAAGTAGCTATTCAAATGACATTTACAAAGATTCTATGATAATAATAAATAGTTATTATAAAATGTTATATAAGCAAGCAGAGCAAAAACATACATTATATTCAATATAACAAGCATGTGTAGCAATCCACTAAGAAAAATTAAAGACTTGGGACCAGCAGTTAGCGTAGTGGTTACGTCACTGGACTCCCACGTAGTTGACAGCAGTTCAAGTCCTGGACCCGGTGGCTTAAACTCACGCCGGGAGCATGTGTGTGCGTGTCCAAGATTCCGAGAGGAGAATGGAGGAGACGGGATTGCGGCATGGCCATCCCCCTTGGAGGGTGATTTCTCGCTTTCTGTCTCTCTGTCTCTCTCTGTCTGCCTGGCAAGCGCACATCCCCTATAGGAAAAACCTCTCAAAAAAAAAAAAAGAAAGAAAAATTAAAGACTTGGGACCAGCAGTTAGCGTAGTGGTTACGTCACTGGACTCCCACGTAGTTGACAGCAGTTCAAGTCCTGGACCCGGTGGCTTAAACTCACGCCGGGAGCATGTGTGTGCGTGTCCAAGATTCCGAGAGGAGAATGGAGGAGACGGGATTGCGGCATGGCCATCCCCCTTGGAGGGTGATTTCTCGCTTTCTGTCTCTCTGTCTCTCTCTGTCTGCCTGGCAAGCGCACATCCCCTATAGGAAAAACCTCTCAAAAAAAAAAAAAAAAAAAAAGAAAGAAAAATTAAAGACTAGATGGAAATGTCCCAAAATATAAATATAAATGGTTAATAGACTTAGATACTGGAATTATAACTATTTTTCTTCTTTTTATATTTTCCATTTTTCTTTGCTGAACATACATTTTTTGTAATCAAAGTTTTAAGTCTAAATACAGGTTTAAAAAGCAAGGATGAAGTAGCAAGAACAAGAATAAAACTAGTTCCCGAGATCTGGATTCAAACTGCCTGGGTTTCAACTCTGACTCCTCAAGTTATTGTGTGACCTTGGGCAAGTTATTTAGATGTTTCTTGTCCCAGTTTCTTGCCTTCAAAATGGGGGTGATAATATATAGTACCTACCAAACAGATTGGTGTAAGGATAAGTAGCTAAAATATGTGGAGTGGCACAGAGTGTGATACCTACTAAGTATTCAAAATGATAATCAATCCCATACCTGGGCAGCCACAAAGAAAGAATTCTTATAAGAGAAAAGGTATCCAGACATCACCTGATAATGTCTCAGGAGCAAGTAATTCCGAGCTATGTTTTCATGGAGCAATTGCCCCTGAGGCAGAATCAATCCTCAAATTCTACACTCACATTTCAGAAGTTTCCCTGAAGGAGATGGGCAGTAGGCAGACACTCATCTTACAGGTAATTCCTTCTTTGGTTCTTTTTTCTTTTCTTTTTTTCTTTCCTTCCTAATGTACCAATCATAATTCATTGTCCAAAGTGCCTTCTGGTTTTAAAAACAAGTCTAAAATTATGTTAATAGGATTGTCAGAAACCACTAATCATTATTCTAAGATGAAATGACCTCATGAAAATCCTATTGATGGTGCTTACAGACAGCGGTTAATTTAAAGATAAAGATCATTGTTGAAACAATCAAATTTTTCTGTCAAATGCCTGTTCTAAAGTCAGTGAATCAAAAGTTGGACTTTTGTCTCCTGCAGAAACACCCTTCTTTCTGTGCAAATTAAACTATCTCAATCTGGGTAAAATAAAGTAGTTCATAGCTACCCCAGGGTCTTGCCTATAAACAGGCTCTTAGTAAATATTTGTTGAAAAGACACTTATTTCTGAAATTTTAGTTCTTATTGCTTGTTGACACTTACCTTTCTAAGGGAGTGAGAATTCAGCTAGGTTGCAGGAATATTACATTTTGACTAATTAAGATGACCCAGAGAATAAGAGCAGATTAAGGGAAGACAGGTGGAAATTTGCATCTCTAACACCTTGTCCCCTGAAAAGCAGCACCGCTTTTATCAGCCGGAAGGAGGAGTCATCTTCTAGAGGCATCCTTTATCCTGATTTCTAGTTTAAACTTCCTTGATCTTTTGATCTCAGGAATCTTGTGCTCAAAATAAGGCAATACTCCCTCCTATTCAAGGTCTTGATTTGGTTCGGCAAGCTACCTCTCTCCGGGACTCCGCTCGTTGCTTGCATAGAGTAGTAGCAACACACTTATTAAAACAGTGGTTAACAAGGGTCAGCAGGTGGTGGGGGGAGTGGTGGGTCACGGCTGGGTGGGGCTGCGGCCACACGGGAGATTTGCTTCCGATTCAGAGCCTATCTGAGCAGTTCAGTGCATAGCACATCTGTGCGCCTGGCTGACTGACTGGCAGGCTGGAGCAGAGCATCCCAAGGCGGGACTCCACCTGAAATCTCTCTTCTCTCCTCCTCCTTCCTTCCTCTTTCTCTCTCCTCTCTCTCTCTCTTTCTCTCTCTCTCTCTCTCTCTCTCTCTAGTTCAGTGCATAGCACATCTGTGCGCCTGGCTGACTGACTGGCAGGCTGGAGCAGAGCATCCCAAGGCGGGACTCCACCTGAAATCTCTCTTCTCTCCTCCTCCTTCCTTCCTCTTTCTCTCTCCTCTCTCTCTCTCTTTCTCTCTCTCCCTCTCTCTCTCTCTCTCTCTCTCTCTCTCTCTCTCTCTCTCTCTCTCTCTCTCTCTCTCTCTCTCTCTCTCTCTCCCCTCAACTAATAATAACAAAAGGCCTTGAACCGCAAAGATGCATTCAGAAGCACGGATTGGAACCTGGCTGGTCACTAGCAGGACGGTCCTCATTCCGTCCAGTAACCGTACTCGGCCTGTTTGCTGGTCAAGTGGCCACGATACCGACAGATGTCGCAGAGCTAAACGAGACGAAAGGTAAGAAACGATAGGGCGTGGAAAGTGATGTGAGGATCTGGTCTTCCCTGCACGGTGAGTCTGCATTGACCGTCATTTTCTGAATCCTGATATTACTTGGTCTTTTTCCTGTCTTTCCTTCCAATACCAGAAAGCAAAGTTCTCCGAACTCGGAACTTTTAATATAGAACACTGGGGCTCCAGGCTGTGGACCCTTTCACTGTTCAAGCCCCAGGGACCTAGACAGGTGATGAGAACACCTTTTGGGTGGGCCTTAAGAAGCTGTCCCCTCGCGGAAGCCAGTTAATTCTCTTTTTCCCCTTTTAAGTCGGGTCTCCACAGACTTCCCTCCTCAGACCCTCCAAGACTAAGTGGATCAGTCCCTCCCTCCGAGCCGAGTTTCCATCAGGAACGTGCTGACACTTAGACACACCCAAGAACCAATCTGACCCCACCCTTCCAGGGAAAGATGGAGGGAGAAAGGGACGGGGCGGAATGCGAGATGCCACAGGTAACGGCGGGCTGCGCGCAGTCGGAGGAAACGTCCCGGCCGAAGGCGCTGCTCAACCTGCGCTTTTCCGCTCGCCCCCGGCCCACACGGTCTCCTTGTCCGAGTTGCCAGAGAATTTAGAGCAGCCCCAAAGGGGCGCAAGGCTCGGGGGCCTGAAGGTGGCTTCAGTCCCACAGCCGTCTTCCAAATTCCCCCACGTGCAGACTGGAGCCCCGCGGGCCAGGTGCGTGCGGCGGTCCGCGCTGCCTCCTCCGCGTTCCGCCCCGCGCGCCGCGCGCTGCGCTCGGGTCGCTGGGAACCTGGCGGTGCGCTCCCTCGACACCCGCAGGAGACAAACGCTACCTGTAGAAGTAATGTGCACAGAAGAGGCAGAGAAGCACGGTCCCAGGCGGTGCGAAGAGAGAGTGGGGCTGCAGGGCGAGGAAGCCCACGGCCACCGCGAAGGAGGGCAGCTCCTGCAGGAACCAGGCGGTGCGGGCGGGCAGGCTGATAGCCATCGGTATCAGGCTCTCGGTGTGCTTCCCGTAGGCGGAAGGCTCCGCGTAGTACAGGACCAGTGCCCCGAGGGCGGCGAAAGTGGCGCTGCCTGCCAGCACCGGGCTCTGCAGGCACCGAGCGGCCATCGCGCCGTGTTCGCCACCGGTGCTGCTGCCCGCGCAGAGGAGAGCGGCCCCCACGTCCCCTTTAAGGAGAGCAAGACGCCTCCCGGTGTCCGCCCCTTCGGCCTTGGCTCCCGCCCCTCCATCCTGCCTCCCACCTCAAGCCCCAAGTCTCCGCAGCTGTGCCCCTTTCGCAGACATGGCGCGAAGGGTTTCTTGGTGCCAAAACACGTCCAGGGGCCCCCGCCCCCCTCGCTCGCCCTCTGCGCCGCTTTCCATTCGTCTGCCCCCTCGGCTGCCCTTCGATTAACTTCTCACCCCTCAAACTTGGATGCTGCAACTTCTGGAACTAAGAACTCGAAAGAGAAAACCACCGGGATCATTCAGCCAAGGCGCTTCTCCCGCCCCAGCGCACACCCTCTGCGCGGGAGCCACCCTCGGATTCCCAAGTCAGAATCTCCCCGACCGCTCCAGTCCCCGGCTCTGCTTCACGCCGGTGCTCCACCGACACTGCATCCTTCTCGAAGCGCCAGGAGGCGAGTCCAGGGTCGAAGGATGTGGACATCCTGGCGCGTCGAGCGTCCGCCCTCGTCTGTCCTGGGACGCCTTGGCTACTCTCAGCATCAGTGCCGCTCTGCCCCTCCATGTCCCTAGGCAGATGCCAGCCTCTCCCGGCAATAATTCCTCAGCGGTCTCTCTTTGCA